GCCGCTGCTGCCGCTGCTGGCCCAGGGGCCTGGGGGCGCGCTGGGAAACAGGCATGCGGTATATTGGAACAGCTCCAACCAGCAGTGAGTCGGGGACCCGGAGAGCCCGTGCGTCCCGCGTCAGTGATGGGGGAGCCGGTGGGCCCTAGAAGTCCTGGGGGAACCTGGCGGCAGTCGTGGGAGACAGGCTGGGTGCTGGGAGGCGAGGGAGAGGGGACGCACTACGTGGGCGTCTGTGAAACTAGGGGGTGTCTGAGAGAAGCTGTTGGGGCATAGTGAGGAGCGCGCTGGCCGTGCGGAGGAGGCTGCTGGGGGACCCCAACCCCATCTTGGTTTCTTTCCACACTCGCCTCTGGAATAGTGTTCCCTGTCCCATAGTCCCCCTACCACCCACACTCCTTTCGGCCTGGTTGAAGTCTGGGGGTACCGGTGTACCGGGGATAGGCCGCTGCATTTGGGAGCCCAAGGATGACCTGTTTTCAGCCTATAAACGTTGATGGGGTTTTGCCTAAGACTCTTGCCTTTAAAAGTGGGGTTCGGCATTCAGGCAGGAAGTACGAGTCGCCACCTCCCCCAGAACGAAGGGGAATGGGTTGCTCTGGTTGTGTGGATAAACCCTGCTGGGATGAGCCGGAGCAGGGTCGCCGAGTTGGGGGGCCCTGGGAACGGAGGGTGCTAGTGAGAGAAGGCAGAGACGTCGGCGTGTGTCACACACACACACACACTGGGGACCGCGTGTGGCACCGAGTGTGAACGGGCGTGCGCGGCTGTCAGTGTGCGTGGGTCTGTGTGTGATTTGTGTGTCTGCGTCGGCGGCCGTCTAGGGGTGGGAGCGGGCGGCGGGGCGGGCCGGGGAGGGGGCTGCGGTCGGTGTCCGCGTGGTCCGGCTTGTCTGGCCTGGGGTGGCTCGTGGCGCCGCCGCGGTCTGGGCGGGTGTCAGGGCGGCCGTGCGGTTTCCTCCGGTGTGTGGCGCGGCGGCCCGGTGCCGGCTGCCGGACCGGGCTATCATTCTGCACAGTCCTTGCTGCCCTTGTCTTCTCCCTGCCGAGCTGTCTGTCGCTCGTGTGTATCACTCTGGCCACCTCGGAGTGTTGGTAGGGGGATCCCTGGGGACACGGGGATCACTGTCACACCTGCCCGGGCGGTGGCGGCAGCTTTGCTTTTGACTCCCCGCCCTGGGGGCAGACTAGGGAACAAATGGTGAGACCCCAGGGGAGGGGACCTGAAGGGCCTGCACCACCCCCCCCAACCTTCCGGGGGAGGGGCTCCCGCTTGCCGCTCTGCTCTTTGTTGTTTGGGGCTCTGCGCCTCCCCCTCTTCCTCCTCGCGCCCAGAGTGTCAGACTGGGGGTGGGGATGAGCTAATGACGCCCCCCTTTTGCTTCCCATGGAAACCTCGGGGGTGGGGTTGCAGCCCCTCCCCCCCGGAGCGGGACTCCAACCTTCCCGGGGGGCGCTGAGGGCTTGACTATACCCTGCTTTTGCTATATCTAGCTCGCCCCCCTCCCTGAGATTCTCACGCCCGACCCCCGCCCCGCTACAGTCTGGCACGAGCCGTGTGAGCTCGCAGGTGAGAGACCCCGGGTTCCCCGCCACCCTTGGGGAACTCCCCTGGCCGTGGATGCCAAAGCCGAGTGGGTGTGGGAATAGCCTTGAGGGGAGCGTTGATCAGGTTCCCCTCCCCCGCATACACCTGGGCGCAGGTGAAAGCTTCGGAACGGGATGGGAGAGCCGGGTTCCCAGAACCTCCTTTCGCCCTCTCCACTCCGGTTCGGGCAGGGACCGACGGAGGTAGGAGGCGGCGCACACT